GCATTCATGTTAGAACACATTACTATATAGCCTACAAGCTATATTATACTATACATATCTATATATGTACATACATATTACCATATGCTTGAGATTCGGATTATAGGGGCTCAGGGTCAAGAACTGAGGATGGTCGTTGAGATTTGTGCTAAGGCTGAGGATGTAGGCTGCCAGGTTCTGGGTCATACAAGTTGAAGTTTTGGGCTAATCCTTGCGGCCTTTGAAATCATAGAGTCGTACTTCCGAGTCCCACCGCACGGTTCTTGATTGAGACTGAGCACATGCTCGAGACAGAATCCTTATTGAAAGCAAACCGAAACATTCGATAGCAGTAACCCCTGAACTCCTTTTATGGGGAGACTCATAGTGATGAGAGTGTTGCCATGCGGATGAACGGTGACTGAAAAAGGCCTTTACCCTGCCCACATGCTAAGGGTTTGGGGGAGGGTTCTGTAAAGGATACTGGCAGGGCTGCAATGCTTTGAGAATTACCATGAGGGTTGCCATAAGAGTCGCCGCGGTTAAGAATTCATGTTGTAAGGTGTTTACAACGGTATGCGCTTGGATCTCACCTTCCAACCTGCAGCTCCAACATGAGAAGATGCTTCTTTCCTGGAGTAACTCAGCCTTTTGATGCAGCCTTAAGTTTAAGCCTCACCCTGGCTGAAACCCTCAAGCCATCAAGCACTGACTGTTTAGGCGCATCCTGTGCCAGCATGGTCCAAGTTGCGAGCTGCGAAACCCTGCAGCCGAAACCTGTAATCAAAATCGAGGCCCTCACGTTGCTGGCAGACTTCATGGAGGCAACAGAAGGCGACAAGAGTGAGACTTGGTTGAAAAGGACTAGATGCTCTGACGTTAGTTTGCACAAATGACAAGGTGAATCAAGGGGAAGCCTCATGTTGAAGGGTTCATTCGAGAGTGATTCGAAAAGTCTTCGTTGTGAAGTTGAGGATTTCGAACCTTTGCCATCCGAGCAAGGCTCCTAAAGCTCCCGTTCCGACTGCCGAATGCCGGAACACCTCCTGAGCTGTCTAGGGCAAATAACAACCCCAGAGCTATGAGACCGGACGCCCACACTGTCCGTCACTGGCAAAAAAGATGTGGCAGGATGTGTTCTGGAACTCTCTTGCATCCCTGCTGGCCAGCAACTAAGCGCTTCAACCCGAAATCCTACAAGCCCTTTGAACTTGTCATAATTACCGCTGAAGGGCAAAACCCTTCGTGTGAGTATCCTGCGAAGCGGCAAGAACGGTCTAAATCGTATCGCACACAACGCAGGATTGTGTCCTTCAGCAGTTCTACACCGACACTCTCACTACCCTACTTTCACATTAAGACCCAGAGCTGTCTCCGGTTTCTGTAGGGGTTTCGAGCTCAAGCGTTCGAGTCCAACTCAGCTTGGAGGCCCTACCGAGCGGATGGCAGCTCTACAGTGAAACGAAACGGTTCTTAATCGGCGCATTTAGGCTCAAGCTGTAAGCTTATCACGACAAGCATGATTACAAGCAGCACCCCAAAAGTGAACATTCCAGCCCCATCGATTGAATACCAACCAGCCGACCTAGCTGAACTCGATCAAGCTTTACAACTTCCTAGCCTCCCAACCCTCATCCAATTTGTTAGAAGTTATAAATTGTTATGAAATACTATAGCTACAAAATTCGGGGCCATATAAGGCCGACAGTCCTGAACCCTATATCCTGAACTCCAAACCCGCCCGTATCATCTGATCCGATGTGATGAACAACCCACCATCTGTCTGAATCTGAGCCATTCCAAACCTTTGTCACATACTCGAACATTCCGAATTCCGAGGCAGGCAGCCTGCGCCGACGTGCTGGTGCCAGCCATTGGCTCGCGGTGCTCCGAGGGGCCACCTGCCAGTGTTACGGTTTTGGTGCAGGGGTTAAGGATGAGGTGATGACGGATCAGGGTCTACGGCTTAGGGTTTCGAGTTCGCAATATTTGCTGCCTGATTCCCGAAGCTCGGCTGTCAACATTGCAGAGCTTGAGGGCTGTGGGTTTTAAGGGTTTCTGTGTGATCTTTGGGGTGGCCATGCAGGGGTCGTTGATCGTGATCGTGAGGTGGAAACCAGGTAGACAACCCATTCGATGCACAAAGCCGCAAGCCCTAAAACCCCTATCCCTTGCAGCGACATCAAAAGTCTGGGTTGTCGGTGCCATGTGGTTTAAATATTGTTTGCCGATGGGATACCGACTGCATGGGAATAATTGAATATGTTTCGCCGTTGGTTCCGGCCCCAGACCATACATCAACCCTAAACCTAGAAACCCGAAACCATGCAAGCAGCTGCAGGAGACTACAGCGACGGCTCCTGCCGAGTATGTGGCTGGCCTCTTCGATGGCTACGCCGAGCGATTTGATGAACACTTGGTTGCTCAGCTCATCCGGGCCCCAAGTAGGATTTTCAGGCAAGAGCTAAGGTAGGGTTTAGGGAGTTTAGGGTTTAGGGGTCGTCTACCTTCCGCTTTCTGACACCCTCAAGTATTTCGGTTTATAGGTTGCAGGTTTCTGGTTGCTGCTGTGGTTTCGGGTTGGGACTTTACTTGCGCATCCAAGCAGTGCGCGCTAGACTGTTGAGTTCGACTTCCTTCTGCTCTGCTACATGTCGCCGAAGTACGAAGATCCATCTCGTTCCGGTTATGAGTTCCCAGCTGTACCCTCCCGTTCCTCCCAGAGGTTTTTTTGTGAATGCATGCCGACGTCCCGAATTCTCACAGTACTAGGTAACATGTAAAATCTTCCAAGCAGTATCCAGGTGTCCCAAGAGATGTAACTTTGGATTTGAATTCCGTGCCCTTATACCCGAAACCCTAGTTGCACGCTGAACCCGAGCTGCGAACCTCGCCCCTTGAATTTGGCGTCTAGGTCGGTGCCCTCGAGTATCGCACGCCCGAGCTCTTAGCAGAAGAGCTGGCGCACCTCAAGGATCTTATCGAGCAGCACAGCAGGGAGTCGCACCAACCACGCATAAGTCGGTAAAGTTAGGAGCACTAAGGCATCAGCAGCTGGAAAGGATTTGAAATACCATGCAAGAAATACACAGCTCATAAATATAAGATAGTCTACCTGCAGTTGTAGCAACTGCAAGAATCTTGCTAGACCTTCATGCCGATAGCATTGCACACAAGGGCAGTCAAGCTTGTAGTGCGAGTGCTGCAGGTACTGGTTACGCAGTGTAAGACGTATCTGCAACACTCTATCCTGGTCTTCCTGCGCTGCTCCAGATCTGACCAGTACATGACACTGACTGGGGTGAAGATAAGACCCCCCACAAACTGAGTTTGGAGCCACCAAACACAAACTGAGAGCGAACATCCCACAACCTTCGACTCTTCAAGCCCATCCAAAACCCCCCAAAACCCGAAGCACCAATGCTACGAAGCCCAAAGCCTCTAAACCCTAAACCCGAAAGTTGGGCTTCGGTTTTAGCTGATTTGTCCTCGCGACCCGTTGCTCCTCAAATCCATGATTACCCGTACCCCATGGCGAGGGTTGTTTCAGGACGGAACAAGGCAACCGCGAAAGGAACACCCTTAGTATTTACCGAAAACCTGCGAGGAACCGGGAGCAGAGTATACGGGGCCTTGGGATTCGGGCTTAAAAGGTTCAGTGTTTGATTTTCGATTGGGGGGTGTTGGCGGCTTAGGGGTGTGGCATTGCGGGATGATTTAGCCGCCGCCCAAACTCGGAGCTCTAAAGCCCAAAGTCGTAAAACTTGGAACCCTTGAAGCATGTTTAAACGAACACTAGAATCACTAGAAGAGACAGACAGAAAGAGAGAGAGAGAGAGAGGGAGAGACAGACAGAGAATGAAACTGGAGAAGAACCGCCACGATCAAACATGTTGCAAACAACTTTTTCAAGATGTGTTTAAACATCCCCCAACAGGAGACCCTCTTGGCTGAAAGCCCCGGCTCCCAGCCGTTTGCCCGTTGCGCGGATTTGGGCTGCGGAACTGGGCTGCCTGGGCTAAGCGTCAACATTGCAGGGTGTAGGGCTGGGGAGATGAGGCTGAATCCGGCTCAAGGCCCCTATGGCAGCAAATCGGCTCAAAGAACGGGCTTTGGAGCACTACCATCCAGTGACTGTGTGCTTGTGATTTTGTGTGTTTGTGTGTGTGTGTGTGTGTGTGTGTGTGTAGTAGTAGT